TATTCCAGCCTCAAATTGAATAGCGGCAACAGCAAGGGAGTAAAGCGAGTTCGAACTCAGAGAGTGTACAAACTGTTGAAAAAGTTAGCATTTATGAAGACATTAACGCCGAATAGACGATTTTCTCAAAATATTCTCACCTATCACTTGGAGGGACAATTTCAGGAGCAATTGTTTTAAAATCTGTATTGATTCATATCACAAAGCTAGCTGGTTAGTTGGCATGTGACTGCCCAATCCATGGTGTCTCTAAACCCCAACCTTCTTATGTAGTCATTGAATCGCTGGGTGGCCACTGAATCTACAGCCTCAATGCATCGGTTGGTGGACACTGCAGCACACGTTGGCAGCACTTTCGTGTTGCATTTTGCTGAGGCGGAAAAGCTGCGCCTCCTCCAGATGCCCAGTGCGGACATCTGCTTGTTGATCTGATCCTCGCAAGGACACGTGAAAGGGTTGCCTTGCAGGTAGAGACGGCGCACTCTCAGCTGCATGAAGAAGCTGTTGGGCAGATAGTTGAGCAGATTGAAGTTCAACGACAGCTCCGACGTGAAGGTAGAGGGCACCATGCTGCGACTCAGTTGCTTGATGCGGTTGCCTTCGAGGTTCAGGTGGAGAACAGTCGAAGCGACGCCTTCAAAGGTTGTGGGGTGTAGCACTGAAATGCGATTCCAACTGAAGTCCAGCCAGTTGAGTTTGGACAGTTCCAGGAACATTCCTACTGGTAGTTCTTCAATACGGTTGTGGCTGAGGAGCAAGGTAGTGAGTGAAGTGGAGTTGCTGAACCAATTCCTAGAGAGGTTCTGAACTTTGTTGTTGTTGAGCTTGACGGTCTTCAGATGGGGCAAGTTGGTAAAGGCGTCCTCATCCACCACGCGCAGCTTGTTACTGTCCAAGAAGATTTGCTGGAGATTGGGCACGTTCTCGAACACCCCCCCTGGCCATGCGGCCAGCTGATTATCGCTCAACACCACCGTTTTTAAGCTGGGCAGACGATTGAAGGCGCATGTCTGGACTTTGGTGAGATTGCATGGGCCCACCACTAGTTCAAGCAGCTCTTCCACGTCGCTGATGAAATTCGCCTCCAACTCCGCAAAATCATTGCAGCCGATCTGGATTTTGGTCGCATCCACATTGTCCAGCGATCTGTCGTTGATGCAGCCGTTCAGCAGCACGGTGCCTTCATAATGCTTCGAAAATTTCTTGAACTTCACTGGAAGGTCGCTGAAGCATTGGCAGGATTCGTCTGAAGCACTCACAATGCTGCACACGGAAAGAAGTAACACTAGGCGCGTTTTCATGGCCTGAGTTTATCCGCACAATTGATGCTTATTAAAGTGCGAATGGGTTTGGATTTATCTGCTGGATGGAAATAGCTTTTTGATAAAAGACTTCGTCCAGAGGCGTGCCCAGCAGAATTATGAATAGATTTTTGSTTTAAACTGCATTYCTCCCGGCCTGGGGATGAAAATGATGCAAAATTGAGGGAATTTAAATTTTTGCAAAAAATTGMTGCTTGCTATTAGAATGTGTGTTTTCACGCAACTGCGTTTTYTCCTTTAAAAATCCGCAACTTCCAAATTAATGCAAGTAGCGACTTGAAATTTCTACCGACTTTATAAGACACTTGACTCTTAAAATGCTGAAAGTTTGGTAAAAATCGGATGAGATCCCGATTTTTGCCAGCTTAGCAAAAATAGATCTCAGAATGTGTGTTTTCACGCAACTGCACTTTCTCCTTAAAAAATTTAAATCTTCTAAACTAATGCAAGTAGCTACTTCAAATTTCTACCATCTTTATAAGACACTTGACTCTCAAAATGCTTAAAGTTTGGTAAAAATCGCATGAGATCTCAAATTTTGCCAGCTCAGCAAAGATCGGTCTCAAAATGTGTGCTTCCACCCAACTGCACTTTCTCCTTTAAAAATTCACATCCGTGAAACTAATGCAAGTAGCGACTTGGAATTTCTACCAACTTTATAAGACACTCGACTCTAAAAATGCTGAAAGTTTCATAAAAATCGCGTAAGTTCCCGAATTTTGCCAGCTTACCAAAAATCGGCCTCAGAATGTGTGTTTTCACGCAACTGCGCTTTCTCCTTAAAAAATTCGCATCTTCCAAACTAATGCAAGTAGATACTTGAAATTTCTACCAACTTTATAAGACACTTGGCTCTAAAAATGCTGAAAGTTTCATAAAAATCGCGTAAGATCCCGATTTTTGCCAGCTTAGCAAAAATCGGTCTCAGAATGTGTGTTTTCAAGCAACTGCGCTTTCTCCTTTAAAAATTCGCATCTTCCAAACTACTGCAAGTAGCGACTTGAAATTTCTACCAACTCTATAAGACACTTGACTCCAAAAATTCTGAAAGTTTCATAAAAATCACCGAATATTCCGATTTTTACCAGCATGTGAAAGTTTGAGAGTTTTACGATTGTCAACCAAAATGATGCAAAATTGAGGGAATTTAAATTTTTGCGAGAAATTGATGCGTGTTTTTTGAGCTCAATCAATTGCTGTCGACGTCAGAAGAAGTGTGTAGGTCAATGATAAGAAAAAGTTATCCTGGACATCACTGTACATAAATCATATTTTTGAATCGCCTCTGCCATCTAGCGAGAACAGCCAACCTAAAGCGATGTTACTCAACGATTTCCTTCAGAAATGGGCCAAACCTCAGTGGGTCCATCTATCGGCTGCTGGTTAACTACCAAATTTTTCCCAAATCAGAACTAGATGCCTTGAGGTGTTTAGTGCTGGAAGGGAGTGAAGGCAAAACAACGCGTAAACTATTTATTAATAATAATCATTATTTGATTTATTTTCTAGACTACGTGTAATTGTTAATATATTTTTTCTTTCCTGGGTTTCAGTCAAAAGTCAAAATTTTTAGTTTGATGATGGCGCTGTTGTCTCGCCGAAACGTCATATGAAATGAACGATATGAACATTTTTATTTCCCATTTTGACTGAAACCCAGGAAAGAAAAAATATAATAAAAATCCGTTGCAATAAAAAAAACACAAAAACAACAAAACTAATACTGTATCACCACCTCAGGCCACCAAAGTAGAGCTAATTTTTCCAGTCAGATCCTCTTCCGCACGATCACTTCCAAATGAGCAGTGGGCCTGGAAGATGTTCTCCAGCTGAGTGACTGTTTCCGCCGACAGGAACATGGTACATGCTTGAAAGTCTTTGCCAGCTTCGGGCATGATCCGCTTCTTGTACACTTTCAAGGAACTGAAGTCCGAGTGCGATTCACCCACGGGCACCAGCGAAACTTGCTCCTGCTCCATCAAACCCTTGCTGATGATGGGATTTACGAATGCAGGAATAGCGTCGGCGCCTTTAATTGTCGGCAGTACCTCGCCGCCGATTTTAAACTCCAAACCGTCGTTCTTCTCCTCGGCATCATCGGCTGCTTCAGCGGCTTCTATGCGGGTGTTGAATGGGGCTCTTGGAGCTTGCTGGGCATGTTCCGACTGGCTTCTCCACGTTCTTCGTCTTAGGGTGAAGGGCTTGTGGTCGTACTGCTGGTTGCATCGCTCATATGATTTCAGGATGTTTCGGTAGATTTTTTCAGAGCTGCGTAAGGCTTCCGCTTCGTCCTCTTCTTCGTCGAAGGTTTCCTCAATGCAGGAGAGTTTGGGGGCTGACTTGGAGCACTCCAATGGGGGCCTGAAAGGTGACAAGTTTTAATGTTTCTTTTTTGGCAAAGAAACCAGCGATTAAGTCGGATATTGATATACAGAGGGATTCATTCACTGGGAATTTTACCAATGTTGCAAAGCTAGACAAGAGGGGAGCAGCTGAAATTATCTCAGTCCATAGCCTGAGAAAYAATGMGATTTGAAGGAGTACGAGTTCTCCTTTAAAAACTCTCAAAAACATCATATATATAGATTCTTGGCCCAGCGAACAATAATTTTTGGAATAAGAAAAATTTACTGGTTTYGGCRGGATCCGAAATCCCGCAAAAAGCATTTTCCRAAGATTCCWGAATTTCRAAAATTTTTGAAAAAAAAAATTAAWTGTAAATTGAGTGAAYCAGAGCTTCAGGCCTTCAAAAATGTAAACTCTCCTGGTGACCAAAATGAACTTTTTACGCCAAGYCYMTGGGCTTTTTAACAGTTTTTTCCTATAAAAATCGYATCTTCCAAACTAATGCAAGTAGCGACGAATTTCTACCACCTTTATACGACACTTGAGTCCAAAAATGCTGAAAGTTTCGTAAAAATCGCATAAGATCCCGAATTTTGCCAGCTCAGCAAAAATCGGTCTCAGAATGTGTGTTTTCAGGCAACTGCGTTTTCTCCTTTAAAAATTCGCATCTCACAAACTAATGCAAGTAGCGACTTGAAATTTCTACCAACTTTATAAGACACTTGGCTCTAAAAATGCTGAAAGTTTCATAAAAATCGCGTAAAATCCCGATTTTTGCCAGCTTAGCAAAAACCGGTCTCAGAATGTGTGTTTTCACGCAATTGCGCTTTCTCCTTTAAAAATTCGGGTCTTCAAAATTAATGCAAGTAGCGACTTGAAATTTCTACCAACTCTATAAGACACTTGACTCTAAAAATGCGGAAAGTTTCATAAAAATCGTATAAGATCCCAATTTTTACCGGCTTAGCAAAAATCGGCCTCAGAATGTGTGCTTTCACGCAACTGCGCTTTCTCCTTTAAAAATTCGCATCTTCCAAACTAATGCAAGTAGCGACTTGAAATTTCTACCAACTCTATAAGACACGTGACTCTAAAAATGCTGAAAGTTTCATAAAAATCGCGTAAGATCCCGATTTTTGCCAGCTTATCAAAAACCGGTCTCAGAATGTGTGTTTTCAAGCAACTGCGCTTTCTCTTTTAAAAATTCGCATGTTCCAAACTAATGGAAGTAGCGACTTGAAATTTCTACCAACTCTATAAGGCGCTTGACTCTAAAAATGCTCAAAGTTTCATAAAAATCGCGTAAGATCCCGAATTTTGCCAGCTAAGCAAAAATTCGCATCTTCCAAACTAATGCAAGTAGCGACTTGAAATTTTCCAAAGGTTTATAAGCTCTAAAAATCCTGTCTGGTTACACCCGATTACAGTGCGAAAAATTGGCGTTTGACGCCATTCGAATGAAATTTTCCCCGTTTACAGATCCACACATTTGCTATAGACTGGCAGAATTTGAAACGCCCCACACTGATACAAGAGAGTTGTGTGCAAAAACCCTGGCAATTTCGTGAGGCTCCAGTGAAATCTCCTTTATTGCCAGCGTCCTGAAATTGTGACTGAAATGGGCATTCACTCCAGTCTAAAAACTCAGATCGGCGATTTGTAAACCCTCAAGACTAAGGAGGTTTCAGCAAAAAGACTATACCTATAGTTGTGGCAGCCGATCCCCAACAGAATCTTCCGCCTGGGCAGGCTGGCGTTTTCGTTGATCGAGTTGACCAAGCTGAGCCGGGCATTCTGCCTGGACAACTTCTCCTTCTTGAAGTCGGTAAGTGCCCTGGACAGATAGTCTTTGAGCTCGCCATGGATCTGGGCGGCCACTTCGGTGGAGGCGCACAAAACGGCGTGGCAACGCAACTCGTGCCGCAGGCGCCGCCCCTCATGCCGGTACACCCAACAGAAGATCCTGGGGAACTCAGCAGGAGAAGCGCAGGTGGTGAGACGATGCGCCCAGTACTCGGTCAATCCGTGGTTCTTGGTGACTGCCTTCAAACCGCCTCCACACACTGTGAGGTGCATGTTGACGTCGGGCCTGGAGGACTGGATGTAGTTGCGCCACAAGGTTGCCAGCGGCTTCTCAATGCAGCCTTCGCCTGGAAAGCCCCAAATTCTTGAATGCCCACCTCCAACCTATCGAACAAGACTCACCTTTGGCCCACCCGGTAACCACATTGCCCAAATATGCCACATGGTATGTGGGGAACGGTTTGGAAATGGTGGCACTGGCGCATTTCCTCAGTCTGATCTTGTCGAACACGTACTTGAACGTCCTCTTCCTCTCCTTCTGGATGGCTTTCCGGGGCATTTTGCTGAACAGCGGCAGCGTCAGCAGGGCTTTGCTGGCTTTTCCGTCGCATTTCCCCGCAGCTTTGGACGTGGATAACGAACAGTCCATGGTTCATTCAATGGGCATGCTCTTGTCTGCAAGCCAACAAATGCTTTGAGGAGTGCGGACAACAACACACTTTTTATTCGCGATTGCCTTGACTTTGACTAATTATGCGGTTGTTGTTTCGGTGGGCGAATTTTTTTTGTATTGCCAACTTCGGATAATTAATGATCTCTGCGGCGCGGGGATTAAAATGCGCCGAAGAGTGGCACAGTGTGGGAGAAAGTCGGATGCACTGCCGGTCAACGGCATTTCAATTATTGCCCAATTATATAATGTAATAATGCATTGTTTCAGTGCCGCTTTGGCTATTAGAAACGTTGCACTACAGGGTGTATCAAGCTGGGGACTCACTAAGTTAGTGCCTTGATTAAAGCACTTACAAGGCATGCAATGAATACAATTTTCAATTTTTTTCTCGTACCTCTGAAAAAATGCCAATAACCCTTTTTTAGATGTAAAAATTCCAGTCTCGGGTCTCGTAAAGCCTCAACAAATGAATTATAACTCTTTAACCGATCACTCATAGAGCGGCAACAACTCAACACAGTGTTACCCAGGTAAGTTTAAAGCACTTCGAAGGCTACGTCAAGACAAGATTCTTTTGCGATAATTGACACTCTGTATTTCCCCAAAAGCGGGTTAAACACCTCTTGTAGAAGCACTCTGTATATAAATCGTGACGTGTCGAAAGTACGAGAAAAAGGTATTTGGGCAATGACTCTTAATCTATACTAATTGGTAGGACTTTCATGACTTCTCCTCATTACAGAGCCTCCATTTGAGGTGATTAACATTCGAAATCACTTCGTACCGGAAGTGGTTGCATCGGAATGCTGATTGCGCCTGTTACGGAAACATTTCCCGATAGCAAAGACACTAAACTAATAAATTACCTAATTAAACTGCACATCGACCAGTTTTCCGCGTTATTAACAGCGACTCGAAGACCACACAGTGCAAACGAATTCTGGTTGGTACCCGATTAACCAGCTCGATCGGCGACCGAAAAACTATTCGCAAACTTAACATAGAATTGCAATTATTCGGCAACATCAACAATAACAGGTCCTGGTACCGACAGAAAAAAACTGTGGGTACTTTGGGTTAATCGATCGGCGCATTAAAACCACAAATTCTAATTAACATCATCAAGGAACAATGAAAAACAACGGTCAGTACCAAGCAAGTACCAACGCACCCAGTGCGTCTCGGACTTAACTAAGCAACCTGTCGAGTTATAAAAGTTGAAACTGGCATGGCGAAAGGTATTTCTAGGACGTTGCCGGCATTCCGCGCTTCACAGGTTCCTACCTACCATAATGGTACCGTCTACACTCAAAGAACGAGTCTATGGATGTTTTGATCAAATTTTGGGAGAACCTGCTAGTATCAATCAAAAACTTCCGCTATTATATACAGAAACTACACGGAGAAAAATTTGTCTAGCTAATAATAAACATGTCTGAGGTGTCCCAGGTTGGTGCGCTTCTGATCCTGAACGTTCACGGATATCTCCGAATGCTTCCTGAGCCCCTCAAGCCCCAAACAATATTGTCGACTTGCCAATAAAAGAGCAAGTTTGGACATTTTGGAAACAAAAAGCACTGAATCTGAGCATTGAATGTGTGCAACCTTTTTAAAAATTTCTCATTTCTCAATATACAAAATGCAGTAACTTTTGCGGCAAGTGGCAATTTTCAAAAGAGCTGAAAATCTCTCGGGAGGACCGCTTTATCACGCAAATCTGCCAAAACGGGCAAGTTAAAACGCTGATCGTCTCCATCTTTCGACCTGACGCTGAAGCCTGGATACTCAAAGCAGCGGCCTGAACGAAAATCGATGCCAAAAAATTGCCTAAACGATGGTTTAAAAGTAAGGTAAAAAAGTAGGTGGCTCCTGCTCTCCTTCATTTCGAGAAGTGAGTTGAAATCGCACAAACTCCCATTTTTTGCCAGCACAAACATGCACGTTTTTTCACAATTTTCATTGTGCCATTTTGAAAAATACTAATTTTGATTTCAAGTACGTGGCAACTTGAACTTCCCACGCTCTATAGAAGCTACTTCAGTACCATCTTGTTGAGCTTTTCAAGCAAATCCCAAAAGAGGCGAATGTTGGTTGAAAAATCGAATGTTTCCAGACAACTTCAACTTTTTTGAAACTTCCTAAGACTGAAAAAAATTGAAAATTATTATGTAAACCCTGTTTGTTTATGCTTATTTTCTGTTATTAAATCTCAACGGGCCGAAACCTGCAGGTGGTTCCAGTCGCCAAAACCAATGCGCGGTACCACCAAAAATGGCGGGAATCGGTTGGTTTGATTTTAAGGCCTAGATGTCAGCTCGTGTCCATTAATATAGCTTTTTAAATAAATTTCCTTTTACTCTGTTCTGAAGTCGCTGATGATTGCGAAGCTGAGGCAAATTTTCGAGAAATTATAACAATTTTCTGCTTTTTTTAAACAGTTTTAAATCGCAGGTACAAATTGACCCGTGCAACATTGTTGGCGTCCCTCCGTCTGTCTGTTCTTCGTGTCTTTTGTCATTTAACTGTCAACTTGTCAACACAGTAACCAACAAGGGCAGTTTCTCCTCAAAAACAACCCCTTGTTCATTAGAATCGTTTACATTAAATGGTCTGGGAATGGAGTACAAACGACATTCTATGGGTTCAAACTGCGATGATCCCCCACTCTCTCGCCTCTTTATCGTCGGCCCTAAATCGCTCACTGAAGATGCCTACCGGAACCATTTTCAAGAGTTTGGCACTATTGAGGAGATCTGGATGGTCACCGATAAGAGCACTGGCGAGAATAAAGGTAAATCCAGCTTGAGCCACCGAATCGAGCCTCCATAAAAAAGGGGAAGCGTGTGGTGCCGTTTTTTTGGCTAAACATTTTTAAAATTTTATAAACTTTGTTCAAAATCAGTGTATTTTTGGTTCATTTACGCAATGGGGGAGTTAACGAAAATCTGTGGCATTTCTACTTTGATCAAGCGGCTAAGGTGGCCCACGGTGCAACTCAAGATGATCTTCATTGGTGATTTCCTCCCTTTCAGTCTCCTTCTAGTACTGTGGCCACTTGCCCTTTCCTACTCTCCTTTCATGCCTTCTTCAGCTCAAGGGGGGGTCATGGGGGTCTTGACTCCCCCCATTCAATTATCTATCCAACGATGCCAAAACGAATTCTGTGGCTCGAATGGTTCTTGAGAAACTTCGAAAAAAGCAGCGTCAGGTTCTAGTGGATTTTGCAACTCAAAAAAAACCACGCAAATCTAAAACTTCTTGAATTCAAGCATTTTTTGAGAAAATTGCCAACATGTCCCCATCCATGGTTCACTTTCTAAAAAGGCCATTTATTTCTGTCTAGAATGATGTACAAATTAGCGTTCTTGCTCATTTTGCCTCCGAGAAATGAGGAAAAACAGGACGGAAAACATGGAATTTTGGCATAATCTTGCACCGAAGTGTCTGATATTCAAATTTCGCTTTCTGGGTCAAAACTACTCGAATTTCCTCACTC